GGGGATGAATGAATTTATTTCCCATTTCTTACTTACAGAAGCATCTGGACTCCCCAGCTTAGACTGTGTAAGCTAAGCAGGTATGAAGGGACAAGCCCTGCCTATGGGGTTTGAATAGACAGGACAAGAGATGGAAGAAAGGAGAGGTAACGTGACTTTTATAAGGCCTTGTTTAGAGAGGATACTTGAGAAAGTTCAGACAAACTTAGATTTGAAGTGAAAAACTAATATAAAGCTACTTAAATTCTGGATCTTAACTCTTAATAATATACACTTTAAACTAATAATGAGGGCTAATTTTTGATGTTTATGCGTCCATGTGTAGGCAATCCTTAAGCTTATATAGAAAGTCAGATATATTCCTGGAAACAGTAGCCAGCCATCAGACTCTTCAATTGTCTTTGATTCCTATGATGCTAAGATGTTTTGCACTTGGGAAAAAATTTGGCCTCTGTCTCTAGGGCTCTTGAATCTATTAAAAAAAAAAAAAAAGAAAAAGTTCAACATCTAACCATTGTTCCTAGGCAAGTCCTTTCATTAGAGAAAGATAAAGATTAATTGAATAACCGCTGGTTTCAGTAATTCTTTCTGCCACCACTTAAGTCAGACAATAATCCAAAGTATAGCACAGCCTGCCATCAAATAATTCAAAGAAAGGTAGGACAACCGAAGCACTCAAAATTTCAGTTAAGCAATGCTTCAGAACAGTTAGCAAGAATTAGCATTTGTGCTCAGAAGTGTGAGGTTTTCCCACCAGACTCGAGCTTGCTAACACAGACTTCTTGTTTTCCAAACTTCCATGCAAGAAAAACTCGTAAAGAACAAAACCCTTAACAAAACCAGAAAAAATAAAAGAAAAATGCTTTCTTGTAACCTTGAGGTCAACAGTTGTCTCTGTTGCAAAACTATAGTCTCGGCAACCCCTCAGTGTGTTATTTTATAACCATTGTCCTGAAAACCACTATGAGTCAAAGCCTATTGGAGCGAGGGAAAGTGACATAACCACTGGTTACCAGCAGCAGTGCAATGACAATCTCTGCATCGGGGACACGCCACCAGTATTTACATAGCTACACAGCAGACACTCAAAGAGGTAAGTCACAGTGTAAGGGAGGGTTTCTAGCAGCACGTGAATTCAGGATAAGGAAGGGCAATAGATTATCATAGAAAATATAACCAGCGTTTGTGCTTTGAAAGGAGCTTCCACAGTTTCTGTTTACAATGTATGAAAGCATCCACAGGGCTAGCTGACAGTCTGATTGCTCGGGACTGGAATAAGTCTCAAAAAAGCGCTGCGAAATGTACTTCTGGGAATTCTCTTACACCAGCAGGGACGCGGCTGGAACAGTTCAAGAGAAAAGGGCAGCTGTGCTTATGAACTGCTCCCACGGTGGAAGCTGTATGCTTACGAGGGTTCAGAACACAGACCTTTATCCAAAGCCAGAAAACAGTTAAGACCTTATCATAGATGGACTATGGGCAAAACCTGTGACTTCTTACGGGAGAAACCAGCTGGCTTTGCCTCTGCGAGTTCCTGGGATGTGTGGTGTTTGGTAAGCGTTAGTACCTCGTGGGGTGTGACAGGTACAGAGTGAGCAAAATACTTTAAAGCCAAGATACTAATTTACTGTTCGCTGGAAGTCAAACAACTACAAAATATTTGATTCTAACACCAGGCCTGGCTCTGCAAAGACTGTTTTAGCAAAAACAGCTGTGTAAATTGAATGTACATGCTCAGTCTGGATATGCTGGGGTGTTTTTACATAACACATCCTGAAAGCATGGAGTTTTCACACATTCATACATATATTCATGGATTTGGAGCAGCAGTGGGTCATGAGGTGTACTTGAATAGAAAGCAAAAAAAAAAAGCAAAAAAAAAAAAAGCAGCAACCCCCTACCTACCTGCATTGTTCATGAGATCAAGAACGGATTTATCCTTCACTTAAACAGAAGAAGTTAAAGCTAGAAGGTGACTCACTCTGCAAAAGCACATCTCCCTTGTAAGATTTTTCTACAAAGGGAGGTTTAATTTCTTCCATTTAATGACAACGAACACAATTCTGATCTTATTCCAGCAGTTAATGGCTGGCATAACAGGCAGTATGAGAGCATGACGACATTCTTCAGCCTTCTTCTGGCGCTATAATCTGCATCACGCTTTGAGGCCACAAAAACAACCATCAAACCTGTTCCTTTCCCCTCTTGAACACAACTAACCCAAGTGTGAAATTCTGACCTACTGGTCATGCTGACAAAGCTTCTCTACTGGAAGCAGGGATGTGAGAAGTCACATAACAAACACAGCCACAGACAGCTCTTTATTTTCAAGTGCTCTGCACACAAGGTAATAGTCCATAGGTGAGAATGGATTTGGACCGATGGCCCATGGAGTTGAGCCAACTAAAAAAAAAAAAAAAAAAAAGAGTGATCTGACCGTTACATCAGGAAGATGCACTAACTTTTCCGTGTGATTTTGCCACCGAATCCCTGAAGGACTTCTGGCAACCATCTTTAATTCTCCTTTTGCATTCTGCCTACTGCATGCAATAGGCATCTCTGCTGTTATACACACACGATTTACATTGAAAAACAATCAAGTCTTATTTTAAAAATGTTTTGACACATTAATCTTGAAATAAAAGGCATAACGTTCCATATACTACAAAGGAAATTAAAGAAAAACTGTAATGGAGAAATTTATGTTCGAACACCATGGTTAGAAAATCACTAGAATTAAGATGTTACTCAGTTCAAATAAATGCATGGCACCATCAAACAGAGAAAGCAACTGGATCGCTGGGGTTTGTTTTCAGGGAAAAACACCAACAGAACCTGTCAAGGGTCCTTGTTAGCTATTGGTCCGTGAATGTCTCTAACAAGAAAACAAACCAGTGCCCTTCCCATGCAAACCTCCTCCCTTCCTGATCGGTGACTGACGAGCTTGGCAAGGCCTCGGGAATGACACAGTGAGAATCCCGTTCAACTGGTATCTTTCACTGCATGGTACTGGGGGATTCACAGTGTGTCCCTGAAGCGCGACCAAGCCTGGAGTGAGTTGGGTAAAACAGTTTCTCTTCAGACATACCCCAACTGTCAGAAGGCTACTTGTGTTCTCTACTGGAATGGAAGGGCTACAGTCAGAACTTCAGTGGAATTCAAATTCCAGAATATTTTAAGTGTGAAGTAAGAAGATATTTCAGTGTTGAACAAATATTTAACATATAATTCATCATGAAGTTCTGAGAAATCCAACAATAATTTGAAGGCTTGTATTTTATCGAAACTGAGGAACTATCCACTAGCCATTTTCACGACAACTGCTGTTTTACTGGAAAGCTAACCTGTCAGAAGGAAAGCCCAAATGAACTCTTCTTTCTGAAGTACCCCTCAGTGTGCATGGTAAGCCTCCAATTACTGTCAACTCCTGCGGAATCTGTGGCAAGACAAACTTGAGACTAACAGGTCCATCACCCCTTGCAGAGAACATTAAGAAAACAGTCAGGAAGCCTTTCTGCTTCTGGAGGACATGGGCAATTGCTCTTACAGGAGAACAACTGAATGAATATATTCTGTCTAGAAAGTAAAGGTATTTATGGATTCTGCTACTCTGACCAGTAAAAATAGACTTTGAAAATATCTTAAGCGATAGGTCATTTTACTCCCGTGCAGCGTTCCATTTGTCTGAACAGACTTCACTTATGGTCTCAGCTGAGATACGTTTCCAGTGTGAAACCATGTAAACCTAAACATTCAGAAGGGAAAGGTTATAACAAGGAACGTCAGAATGTTTTGTGTCACAGCTTGTGATAACGTAATTCCAGAAAAAAGATGAGCAAGCTTCACAAAACCAAATGGAAAACATCCCATTAATGCAATCTACAGTCCACCTGAAGTTATAGGAGCCAATTCCTCTTTATATGCTTTGGTGTGACCTGAACACAGTAGTTAAAACATAGTACAGATCAAACCTGGAAGTTGTTGATGAGTAGCCTACAAAGACAGCAAACAGAACATGCAGCTTTTGAGCAGTTGGAAATCGTGGGTGATAGGTTTACTTGAAACTACAGGACATGTTCTTGCACAGGTTTTAAAAGCTTTCTGGACCACAGCTATTTAGCCAAATTTAAATTGGTGTGGACTGCTGTCAGAGAAGCCTCATCTTAAAAAATGTGACAATAAAATCTTTTTTATGCCTGTTGTGATTCTTAAAATCCAAGAGCCAAGTCATCTTTTCCTACACAAACATCTGTGGGAGTGTAAAAGGCCTCCTGAATCCACAATTTTAATTTCAGTAGTTTTCTGCAGTGAGTGAGGGAGATAAAGGCAAGTTCTACAGTCACAAAGAACGGGAGAGAAGTATGGGTGGCAATACTGAGATAGAAACCATGACAGCAGCTAGAACAAGCCAATGCTTACCATGGCAGTGGCACAGGCTTTCTAAGCTCCCTTTGACAGCCAGATAAATCCCATACTTCCAGGGCCCGTGGCCTGTGCTGGCCATGCTCACAGCCTCCCCGTCTTTGCTGCTGGGGGAAAACTCACTCAGGCAATGACTGAGGAATGCACCCCTTCTTGGCAAAACCCTTAGGGACAAACTTGTGGTCCCACAGTGTTTAAGTGAGACTTAAAACATGTGCTTCAAGTTAAGGGAGTTACAGCCAGAGGTTTCTGTAAGTCAGAACGATTCTGTTCACATCCAACGTATAGGAAACACATGAAACGAGAGTGGCATTTCCAGTCAGAAATCTGTGAGATTGCTGCTATTTAGCCCATTCTGATTGATCAGATAAAGACTGAGATTGTGCCTTTCCACTTCTGCAATTCCATGGAACTAGTTCGGGAAGCCCAGCTGATATTTCTTGGTCCACCGTCTTCCAATTTTCTTCAAAATTAGCCTTCAAATATCTGTAGCTCCACAGTCACTTAGTGAGAAGCCAGACAGCAATGTTGCTTATGCAAAACTCAAGTTGATGTTTGTCATACTAGAGCGCAGGAGTGGTTTTTTAATATTTTATTTGAGATTCGGCAGAGCTTTCTTATGATACACATTGATGGGGCTTCCGGTAGCAGGCTTTCAAAAATAATTAGAGTGATGAATCACAATCAGAAATAAATGACTCTTACATCTATTAAGACAGTTATTTAAAAAATGTTTTGATGAATCATGCAAAAACGCTCGCAAACAGCATTATACTTTTTCATAGATATATTTTTTGGTTTTCTTAAGTCTTATGAAAAGAGCTTGTGCTTTTAACACTTGAATCGAAAAAATATTTACAGCAGACATCATAAATGCTCCATTGACGTTCAGACAGGCAAAGTGGCGGTGGGCTCCTGCTTTGCCATTCACAAAACACGTTGAGGGTTTCAGATCTGTTCTATAAACTCCCAGTTTAAGTGTTTAGTCCTGGATCTTCAGTATGCTCCTTTTCTCCAAATCATTCATTTCCTTCAGTATAAGGGCAACATTGTATCTCAGTTCTTGAAACTTTGCAACTGGCACCTGAAACAGAATCAGGTTAGAAAGCATGAGACATCCTGGGAACTTTGACTAGGGCATGCCTATGGATAGGGAACTTTCCACAGTGTCAGCCCAATCTCTCTTGAAATGCTTTGTTTTTTTTTTTTTTTTTTAAGACCTAAGACATACGATTTGAGGTTAATAAAATTCAATTAATTCAACTAAATCATCTGGGTGAAAAAGGAGAGTGGGAAAAACCAGTAATAACAGCTACATAAGACATTATCTCTATTTCCAGATGTGAGAAAGGAAGTACTCCAGAATGCAAACTGACGGCTGCTGTGGTGAAGAGACATGGATTGGAAGGAAAGATAAAGACACCTGGAAGGTCATGGAGCCTACGGAATTCTCCAGCAACAAATTCCAGATACCCTGCTTGTCCAGAGTTGCAGAAGAAAGGAATTGAGTCTCAAAGCAAGAGACTCAGCAGCAACCTCAAGAGCAAAGAGGACTAGGCCCTGCCTATACACGGAAGGCAAAAGATTTTGACTAAATATACAAAATGTTTTCAGCTGTGCAGGAGACTGACGGACTTTCCATTTCAAGCCTGAGAAGCCAAACGGATAGAAGTCTTATCTGTTCAGACAGAGAACCACACCTGAGCACAAGCACAGACTGGGTGACAGATCAACACGAGTGCAGTGCACAGCGTGGTGACCTGAGAACCGAGAGCAGTCCGGCCCGTCCCGGGCTGCCCCGCAGAGCACTGCCTCATTCACTCTACTGCTTTGACTGAGCTGAAGACACGCAGATCTTTGACAGAGTCCCTTATCACCCTCCTGCCTACTGTCGCACGGATATCAATTATATGAGAGGAATCCAACATCTGATTTGCATTTTCCATATGCATCAGAAACACATAAAAAGGCATCATGATGTCCTTTTCACTTTTGACATATATACAACTAGACTCGAAATGCTGCAATTTCCATTGCTTTTTAAAAGATCTTTGTTGTCAGAAATCACACTGCTATTAAAAAACCAAACCAAACCAAACCCAACCCAAGAGACCAAAGAGTCTAAATTCTCCCTGTGGCATACACATTTTAAAACTGTTCATAATGGAATTATCTTCTGGACTTACCATCTTACATAAGCCCTGTTAGTTAGCAGGACTGAATTAGTTCTGAATGTGTGTCCAAATGAAAGGAAACTGAAGAGGTGGGGACTATATTTGCTTGCATATAGTACCTTGCACCGAAACACAGGTTTATCCCAAAGAGCTACTAACTGCAGGAAGACTCTTCATCAGATAGAGAAACCATGTTTACAGTCAGATCTTCAGCATTCAGACCTAAGCAGCAGCAAAGAGCTGATCCTAAGAGAAGCACACTGTTTGCTACCAGATATCTTGATTATTATCAGTATGCTATTATTATTATTGTTATGTAAGCTAAGCCACTATCCATCATATTTGAGAAGTCCTGGCAATCCGGTGAAGCTCCCATCGACTAGAAAAGGGGAAACATAACCCTCATTTTTAAAAAGGGAAAAAAGGAAGGCCCAGGGGACTACAGGCCAGTCAGTCTCACCTCTGTGCCTGGCAAGATCATGGAGCAGATCCTCCATGATCTTGAAGGTCCCTTCCAACCCAAACCATTCTATGATTCTATAATCTGCACTTCTGCATGTACCGGACAGGCATATCAACACATCTCCACTGCAGAATAGCAAAGGGTCTTTCATAGACTTACAACGGAAAAACCTAACCCCAAACCAAACCAACAAGGAACAATGCCACCAAGACCAAGACTTGGCATCATATACCAGGAAATAAAGCCCCAAATGTAAACAGTAAAGAATACGTACTAGTTTTTATTCTCACAAGTGAGACTTACCCTGTTGTAAAGGGTTAACCTTAAGGCATCATTCCATGGAAGACCTCAAACAGAGGGTATGGGATGCTCTTACTGGACTGTCCACAGAAGGCTGAGTTTGATCTCCTGTGAAGTGACACCCTCAACACTTTGCAACATAGCACAGATTTGTGCCTTCCTCAACAGCTGCCTTCTCGTGAAGCATCATTAACAGCGATGTTAGTCCTCCTCGTTCAACTCACAATGCTTCGGTGCTTCCTCCAGACTACTACTAACACACGAACTGAAGCCAAAATCTTGACAGAGTTCAAATGCAACAGTGCCTGCTGTGCACTGAATTCCTGTACACACCACCACGTTATTTACAGAACAAACAGCATTCCTTTTCAAAGGTTAAAAATATGGAAGAGTTTATGCCATCCTGAGGCAAGCCTTTATGCACGGTGTCATACATACTGCCACTGACTAATTCCGAGGTAAAAAGCAAAGAGGTTTTTTACTTTCTTTCTAACATGAAGAACTGTCCTGAAGAAAAAGAGAATAAAACTGCCTCTGCCACAGAAGAGAATGTTACCATTCCCTACCAAATGTAGGAGGTTTAGAAGTGTGGCACACCTTATATAAACCAATAATTTTCCTGCCCTCAAGAGCCACCATCAGGTCTGACGGTTACAGCTGATAACAATTTTTCATCAAACTAGATATCATGCAACAACACTTTTCAGTAATTAATATTCTTCTAACAAATGAGGTTTCAGCAAAGCGTGTGCAGGAACAAGGTAGGAAATGATTTTCTTTGGCGTTTCATTATATATTTTATGTGGCTACACTGAACATGAAGGACTCCAAAGTAAACCAACCAATGATAATGCACTGTTTACAACAGCTATAATATTTTAAATAGCAAATCAGCTTTCAAAAAAGAACTTCAAGTGGTTTCTTTGTTATTTATCATGGCAATCAGACTTACTTCGAAGCGATGAGCTGTCCCATCTGAAAGCTTCATCATCATTAGAATGGATGGTTGAAGCGCACGGGCCAGTGAACTGAAATTATTTACATTATTAGTATTACAAGGACAGACAGCAGCAGTGTGATGAATACAGCATTATACATCAACAGTTTCAGACGTTCATGTAGGCTTTACTCGGAACACGAGTAATTCCAGTCTTAGAGTCCTGTACCTGGCCGGCTGGCAACTCATGAACACAGGAGTGCTGCCCAATTTATCTCAGTGTGGAGACTAAGATTTTTTTTTTTAGTAGTTTAGTAACCACAAGTTTAGGAGCATTTTTATTTCACATAATAATCAGTTTAGTGGAACTATCTTAGGGACAAGAGCTGACCAAGTACTGCTACTAATAATGCACAATTTTCTTAGTCAGTTTGTTATGTTGCATTAATCCTTTCCGTCCCTTCATACTTTCAACTTCCAGCTCATTTGGGGAACCAAGCTCTTCCAGTCTTCATTCTAAATTTGTGAGTTGTTATTTTATTTGATGACCCAAAGAGGGGAAATGAGTCATTCTTGTGCAGATTCCATCAACCAGTGCTGCCAAAGCCTGCTCAGGTACTGACAGGCGTTACAGCCAGAAGCCATACCTCTTTGCAAAGGCTGTTGCTGGATGATAAACAAGAATTCCCAGGGGGAAGGTTGACTGGAAAGGAAAACAAGAGGAAGGAAAATAGAAAAGGATAATGTATTGCTCCTGTGTTGTTTGGAAAATGAATCGTAGGATTTGCCTGCAGCTTGCAGGCATTATGCCTGAGGGTGTTTATCTGTACATTTTGCTCTCTTATCGGTACCGATTTTTTCTGCATAGTGATACCTGTGTGGTGCTTACAGCACTGCTCATCTGAGAGTCGCCTGAACTAACACCTTGTGGCCATTACAATTCTCACTTAGGAGCTGTTTCTCTTGATTTCAGGACGACTGTCCCTGATTACTCGTGGGCCTCTCGACTATGGCAGCAATGAGACTGTGCTCTCCCTCAATGCAGGTATTCGTGAATGCAACATGAACTCATGCTAACAATTCACACTATGAAAAATAGTGGATCATCTTCCAATTTATTTCACCTTGGTCTGTCTTGGTTCGGACTAGACAAAGACCGGGAACAGCACAGGCAACAGGTTTCTGTTTCTGTCTGGCTCTAGGCAAAGATCCATCTCCCAGCTGCCTCTGCTGTGGCAGATGGCAAGAAGCTATTCACCGCAGGCAGAGACAGGATGATCACAAAGGCCTTTTACTCCTGTTTTGTGGAAGAAACTAGAAGGCAGATCAATGACCAGTTGCATAACTATGGCAGTGTAAAGGTGCTGTTCTGAAGCCTCTCTTTGTATAATCTACAGCAGACTGTACAGGTGATGGAAAGCCGTATTATCTAACATGTGCAACAGACAAATAGCAGTCTGCTTGAGAAGCTGGAGAGATGATTTCCCTCCCCTGCTCCAGTGAAACTGAGAGCTTGGCTGGCTGTGTAAGGCTCAATCTGTCTAAGTTACTCCATCATCTCTGAGGACCTGTGGAGCTGTATCAGCTCCATTAAGTTTTAAAATATTGAAAGAGAGACTCAAACTTTGAGTGAAACGTTTCTAGTACAGAGGTTTTGGAGATCAAAACAAATAAGGAGCCTAAAGAGTATCATTAGCAGAAGATGAAGGCGGCAGCCTTTTGGCAGGTCTGTTGCAAAAACTCTGATAAAATAATTAAGATTTGATCAAGTAGAAGAGTTAGGTTTGATTAAAAGATAGAAAATTGTGAAGCATAATGTATAGGTTAGGATTGTTAAGTTTGAAACAGGTAACCATAGAGACCTCACCAGGAAGTTACTGGATTTTTCTGTTTTGTTTTAAGAAACTAAGGAAACCGTCACAGGTGCCAGTTATGCTGCCTGGAATCCCCCTTCCCCCTTCCCATCTTGATTTAAATATCAAGGATTCCAATCAGTAGAGTTAAGTAGAATTAACTAATGATTGTTTTAGGGTAAGAACATTGATAAGGTGATATAACTAGCGAAACCAATCACTTTAAAGGTCAAATTTAAGAGTGAGCATAATATGCATTTTTATGTAAAAGAACTTACGTAACAATGATTTGACAAAAAAAAAAGTATAAAACCCTATGGATTGTGACGCTAAGGTGGACATGTTTGGACGGAGCTATCCCCCGTGTCCCCAGCGCTGGAATAAAGAAGTGCCTGTTCATCTACTTTGTGTAGATGAATTTTCTCCCCGCATGCCAACAGGTCCATGCTAACAGCAGTAACCTGTTATAAACCGACTTCTCCACTGCTCAGAAAATCCCCTCCCTATTTACCCTTCAATGCTACACGCCGATCCGTAACAGCAAGATACATTTTTAAGTAGACAATAAGCCAGTTCAACCTTGGGCAAACTAATTTCTAGGGTCATGCAGGATTCTCTTTCCTACCTTGTGGATATAGCTACGTCCACTCTCCACTTAAAGTCCTGGACACTCGGCAGCCTGCTTCCTTGTGTCCGAGCTGTGCCTTCAAAAACAGGACGCCTACAGAGTAAATGAGAAATGACAGAAATGCAAATTCATAAAAGAAACCACAATCTAAAGAGAAAATAAGATTCCTCAGAACAAACCTGTCCAGAAATTGTTTCTCTTTTAAATCTATCGTCATTTAGAGAAGTCTGAATAAGTGAAGGTTTTGTGTATTTAAGACAGCTGTGCTCAGATTACCCACTTTTCCTATGCTTAATTATGGTCCATGTTAAAAAAAAAAAGAGACCAAGTGACTCTGTAATTCCAGCAAACCGGTGCCACTATAAAGTTTAGTCAGAGACATCGTGTGGCTGCCATATCTGTTATTTCAATTACATGCAACTCCGAGGCATAGAAAGGGATCTGCAAATATATTTCTACCTTCATGCAGATCCAACAGGAACAAGCAAGCAGGAATGAGACAGATGACTTAAACAAGTTGGAATGAGGTCACTGTGCTCCTTCAGTAGAAAGCATCTAGTATTAGCTAGCGGCAATGTTTTAAAATATAATAATAATATTAGAGTGTACTTTGAAGCATACTTTAAAAAAAAAAGATTCATACAGTGGTTCTTGCTAATCCAACATAATTTACAAACTCTTAAGTTCCTTACATAATGTTCACTGCCAACCTCTGTACAACCTTCAGGGTTTTTGTCTAACGTGTAAGAAGCCAAGGACTTCTTTTATTACTCGTAGTGCAGGAAGAATCAGGCTGATCAAACCTCAGTTTATTTCTGCAAGGAAATACAGTTGACAGCGCTTAAACTTCAGATGGTTGACAATGTTTAAAATTTTAACAGCATCTTAAGCTCTGGGTAAGTAAACAAGCCAAATCTGATACAAAGTCATAACAGCCACCCATTTTTAGACACATATGCAGAAATATCTTCAGAATGAGGTCACTCAGCTGGTCCATTCGGGAGCTAGACTGGACTTCATGTTATTTACTTTTTTTTTTCCCCATGCTAAGTATCCCATGTCTCTCTGCAAGTTATTTACAGCACATTTCAAAGCTACTCCAGTACTCCTGCTAAGGGCAGGATAAAAAACATCACATCCTTCAACCACGGTGCTAGACATAATCTAATTACAGACTTTACACCAGAAAGGAATCCTCTCTGGACACATCAAGGATCAAATGATAGTCTAACACCCCTACTCGGATTCTTGTGTGCAAGTTAGCTGGTGCCTTCGGGAACTGCCCAGAAAGATTAATGATTTGATAAAGTACACAAGACTGACAGGTTGAGATTCTCCAGTACTCTTGCATTTAGCAAAGGCAATATAAGAAAGAATTTATCCTTTTTTCAGGGAGGGTTGGGTGGGGTCAGAAGTGGCACACATTCCTTATAGTATGGTAAAGGAACGAGCAGAAAAAAAATAGATCAGCTGGTTCTTATTCACTGTCAACTACTGGAGAGGAAGTAGGTCAGCACAGCTGGGTGCAACCATGAGAAGCTGGAGTCTAGAACAGTCATTAGCAGGATTAAACAATAAGAACAGGCCTTTCCCTCAGTGGTGAGCTGCTCCCAGAGTATTGTTTAATTTGGGGAATGCCTAAAAATAGCCACGCTGCCATTACTTCCTTAAGACATGCTGACTGCCATCAATGGAAGACGGTCCATTCAGTGCAGCACCAGCATTTTGGGGAAGCAAAAGCAGAGAAAACAGGAAGATGTTCTGGTTAGCAGTAGTGGAAAAAGTCAGTGATGCCCAAACACTGAAGCTTTTGAACGCTGTTAAGCTATGGCATTTCTGTGGCCAAACCACAAAGCTCCACTTCTGGTCAGGACTGCACTTCAGTACCATCCCCTCAGAAAGAGCTGCGGCTTTTATAGCTTAGTTTAAGCTTCTGTCGGCACCTTCCCAGCTTGGACAAGACTGTAACTGGAACTGCAAGAATGCTGTAAGGATGACAGAATGTGCATAGTGACCAACACAGCCACAGAAATTATGCAGGCCATTAATCAAGCCATTGATTTCTAAGAGGACCAGCAAAATACAGCAGAAAAGACTCAATGGATCTTATACGCAAAACCCACAGACTATAATTACATTTTGTAAATGCTCTGTGCCAACAGCTGCAATATAGTGTCAGCACATAGTGCAGATGGCAGAAGTTAGAACATGTAAAGCACCAGGGATCAGCCAGAGACCGTCCAAATTACACGTGGAAAGGATGATACACCTGGTGACAAGAACATCATCTGCCAAAGGATACAACAGGAGAGCACTTGAAAATGAATGATTAGATAATTTGGAGCAGCAGCTGACCTAACAATATCAAAAGCAAAGACAAATTCTGGATGCTTCCCTATGCACAGAACAAGACATGCCTAGCAGGCCCCTGAACAGGGAGAAAGAATAAGTTGGTATGTGTGAAATGCTGACAAATGGCACACAGAACGCACCCTCCTGGTAGAAACTAAATCTACACTATTTAGAGAAAAAAAAAAAAAAAAAGGCAGTACATTTACTATAAACATTCAGAGAGGGGTAAGTTAGGGTTATTCTTGCCCTTAAAAAAAAAGTTTTAATATCATGCAGTTATTTGATAGTGTCCATGTGGCAAGTTTTTCTTTCCTTTCAGTCTATAAGGCTTGATGGAACTGTGGGGACACACAAATACAAATGTCAAATTTCCTGTACTTCAGAGCTGTCGTTTAGTGAACAAAATTGCAAAAACAGGATAAGATGCCAGGAAAAGTATTAAAAATGGATATTTCTGGGTTATGTAGCTCATACTGAATTTTTGATCAGATGCTAATACTTCTCTTGCCATCACAATCATATATATTTACAACTCAATAAGCATATGTATGATTCAGTGTTACATTTAAGATTATAAAAGCAGATCTCTCTAGAAATCAAATCTGAGGTGCTCTTCTCTGGTCTCAAAACACAGAGCAAGATTACACGGGATAATCACAGCTTTCAAAATAAGAAAAAGCTAAATTTTCCAGCATCGTGATTTCACAGCAGAAAACAATCATGCATGCTTCAAATGACATCTAAATTTATCTTCTTTCTCCACTGCAAACAATATTTCCACTTTGCAACCATGAATTTTGCATTCTTAACACCTATAATTCAAACAGAAGCGCAAAGAAAAGATGAGAAGGCTGAATTTATTTTTACTCCCAAAACCTTCAGTTTTAAGCCAAGATCTTGACCAAGGAAACGAAAAACATTTCTAACTTTGGTAACAGCATTCAGACCCTTCCGAGGGTAACTGAAATACCACAACTATAACTATGAGGATTCCATGCAGAGTATCTGGAGCAGCGTTGAGTTAGTGATGCTATGTACTAAGTGACCTCAAGTTTCAAGGAGGATATGCACATGCAAAAAGTTCAAGCAATTTCTAGAAGTAGAATAAGCTAAATATGGTTGAGCAGAGAATCATATGGAAAAAAGGAATCCCTAGAATGGACAAGAGAGATAGGCTGTTCAAAAAGTTCTTGATTCAGTACCTCCTCTGGAGCTACTGAGGTATGCCAGTTAGAAAATAAATTGCAGCTAGCAGAGCACTTCATCCCTCACACGTGTCATGAAGTCACCCAGTGTTAATTCCCAATTCAACTGTACATTAAGACTTGATTAACTGCTATCTGGGAAAGCTTCCATGAACCACAGCAGGCAGAAGGCATGTGTAGCTTGCCTCTCAACAAAGCAAGTATTTCCCTTTTGCTCTAACTTGCAATGACAACAGTGATAAAAATGCTTAGTTCTGCAATGCGTTTGTCATCTGTAGGTACTGATGCCCCTTACAGCGGCTACAGAACATCATAAAAACTGATGGGTGATGATCACAGAAAATTGAAAATCGGTATGAAAACTACTTACTGCATATACGGCCCTGCGTGATGGACATCATGTTTTGTTTAATTAAAATAATGGGACAAATCTTATTCTCATTATTTTAGAGAATTTCGCTATTCCTTCGATAGGCCTGGGATTTTTGTCACCAGAGCTCTATGCAACCCTGCTGGTTGATACTACATGAAGATACTAACCTGTTACCAAAGACTATACTGGAAAAATCCACAATGAAATCTTCTGGTATCCTTAAAGAGAAGAACAATACAGAATAGTTAAGTGTTTTGTAACCACAAATATATGGCCTTAGGTATCAAAAAAAAAAATCTATTACAGAACACAAAAAACGTGTCCATCTTCCATTGCTTAAAATTGCCACCAGCTCTGATGTAAGCACTTCAGTATTGATTCAGTCTCAAAAGGACAGCCTATGTTTTTAGATCAAGAACCCTAAAAACTGTTATTAACATCTTCCCGTTCTACCTAGTATGGCAACAGCAAGTTTCAAAAGAACCCAGTGTTTGCTTAACTTCTCTCAGCAAACTCAAAAAAAGTTCTAGTGATGGCTCTAACAAGCGCAGAAGGCAGGCCAGCACCGCATGCTTTCAAAAATCCCAAACCTACACATTTCATATCACTTTCACCTGAAGTGTAATGAAAAGACAAAACGAATTGCTCTCTCAAAAGTAAAAGGAGAGGCCCTTGTAGCTAAGATCACTTACAAAAGGAGCACACCTAACGTGGGGAGGACAAGCATAAATACGATGGGGACCATGAGAACTGGTTGAATAGACTAACTCACACTCCATCCACTCCATGCCTCTCCACTACCATTCCTCTGACACCTGTTGCCTTACAAACAAGCTGCTGCTGATCCGTTCAATACATCAGGCTGTGAATTGCAGAGACTGCCGAGCAAACACTATCCATTCAGCTGCCTTTGCCACAGGGGCCGTAACTTCCTACAGAGAAGCAGGTTGGACAAGTGGTAGAAGTAACTACTGCTGCTGCCAGGGTTAAATCCAGTGCTCAACATGAACCAGTGCCCAGAGACATTACTCAGCAGTGGCTTGAGATATACAGCGGGATATCAAAGAAAAATCAAAGCAAACAAGGAAGTTACCTGTCCTAAAGGCTTACAGTGCCTAATGACGGGAGAAAAAACAACTCATCAACTCACACAGCGGGAAGATGAAACAGCAGTTATTAGAGCTTGAACTCTTAATGGAAGAAATGGGGTTAAATCACATTTTTAAATGGTGCTTGGATAAAACTGAGTTCATATTAGCATGAAGCAAACTGGAAAGTCAGGAGGAGGGACTAGACAGTGCTTTTTGGCTGCACGAGTCTGTCTTTCCTTCAGTAGAGACAAGACTATTTCTGCAAACATTATTTACACTTTCCATGAAAGTGTATCAGTTAACCCATCCTGATGATGACCAAATATCCTCTGTATGTAGTGGAATAGCTGGAGACAAGGTGTTATGAGTATTAAGCGACCTATCACAGTACTTGCTTGACTGTAATAGCTTTACTGGTACTTTTGAGCTTGCATTATTTTTGCTGTGTAGTTAATGATTTTGCTGAAAGTTCAGTTTCTGGCTCAAGCAGCTTACGCGAGGCCAGGTGCACACTAAGCAGATCAGACACAGCACGTTGCACAGCTCAGGCCTGAGCTACAGATGGCAGTCAGTTTTCAAAGGAACGTTCTGAGGAAGGTACTCAAAGGGCAAGGAAGAAGGTGTGAGGATATCTCAATCCCATGTTATTGGCTTGAGCCACAAAGTTATTAAACAGCCTGAAAGGGGAGGGAAAAAATAGCACCTACAATTCAGAGTGAATTTATTCTCACTGGCTCAGCCAGTCAGGCCAAGAAATAGGGGATATGGAATGGCAGCGTGTGAAGCCAGTGGTATTGATCTAACTAATCAGAAGTGGGCATGTCTCCCAGCTCTCTCTCCACCAAAACTAGGAGTCAAGACTAGCTGCATCACCAGGACACTAAGAATTACAAGACTTTTAATGGGTGGAATTAGTCCAATTTTCAGCCTCACTGAAGGAAACAAAATAGAAAGCAGGAGAGGAGAAAGAAAGTAACCTGGCTCAGAACTCAAACCTTTTAAAAGACGACACAACAGAAAAAGGGAAATAAGTAATTTTTCTGCTTTAAAATGCAAAGTACTTGCCCAAACACTGGGTGCAATTAATGCCAAGACACTGCCGTTCAACCAACTACACGTGTTCTTCATGCGCATGATCACAGGATGAGCCCCAGGAGTCACCGCAGAAGGATAAGTGTCTGAATGTAATTAGCAGGTGCCTTAAAAACGAGCAGGTATTTCACCTCCAAACCCAAGTGCATTGGGAAACATAGGAAATGACATTTCCCACAGGAATCGAAGATGCTAAAGGCGCTACCCAATTTACTAAGTATCATAGCTTGAGAGCAGAATAAGCTATTCAGTCTTCTAAAAGTGTAGCCACAAGGTGAAGAGAGCTACTCACAGGAAATAAGACTCAGAGATGGAAGTTATGGAGAGCCCCAATAACGCGAGAATCATGGGAGCACAGCAGCAGCAAGCAGTACGTAAGACATAGAGGTCTGCAAGCAACACAAATGCAGTTACCTGAACTGTTGCTGCTGTATCAGTCACGTTAACCAGAACAACAAGATAAAAAAGATTTTTCAAGCTATAAAAGATATGAAAAATATCATCCAGACTTAAAAGTTTCTTCATAGTTCCATGAATAACACACAAAGAGAGAAAAAACAAAAACCAAACAACTACAAAAGTTTAAGACATTAAAGTGTGGTCAAACAACAGGACAGGGGCCTGAGAGTCTGTATTTCTAGATACAGCCAGTGCCCTCAGCCAGCCAGGCAGGGACTTCTCACATCCCTGCACACCAACTCTGACACTGCTCAACAGAGGAATATTCACCCACCCCAAGACAACCCGGCATGGAACTTTTAGTGCTCTTCGTTATTCCTTAATTGCACCTCAAAAACCACCAACTCCCACTGGGTCAAAAGCAATTCGTCGGTTCCTTACTGACCTACTTCAGCCTGGGTGCGAATCCCATGACGCGGAAGAGGAAGCAGCTTGCCTTTGAGCTCACAAGACAAAAGGCAGGCCAAGCTCCAGCACTGAGCTGTAGACAAAACTGCGTGAACTAGCGCGGCACCTTTCATCACGGCCCGAATTACACCCCCATTACGTGTCTAAATCTGCAGCTTCAATTTCCCTGAAGTTGCTCATAAAGTAAATTATGCTTATGACTCTACAGAACAGTCTGAGAAGAATGCCAGTTTGCAGGACAAATAAGGATGAAAAAAGACAGAATTAGAAACATATCTATTGATTTCTCCTAGGTAGCAATCAGAATGGTAAGAATTAAGGGAAATGAGCATTTTAAAATAATTGAGCCTTGGTGCAGAGGTTTCTCTATAGATGAGAACATCAGCTGCTGATATTCTCTCATTGCTACTGAATATGGAAATAAGGGAAAACCTATAAAGATTATTAGCATCTGATCTCTAGCTTTTAGGACATGAACTTCTATTTAGAGATACTCTTCAGAGACCGATACAGGTTTTGACTCAGTCCATAACAAACACTATGCCTTCTTGGGTAATGGGCAGGAGAGATCACAGCTGAAAAAGGTGGTAGGATTTCATGAGCGTTATATCATTGGCCTTTCAAAGAAGAAAAAAAGTAGGGCAGTTTCGTAGCTTCTGAAATGTTACCACTGTCTTACCAAACACGTTAAAAAATATTGCAGGGCAAGAAGGGGATGGCAGAGAGAAGGTCACTCACATTTGCATAACCTACATTATGGACTAAATTAAACCAATCTCCCCAGCATACGAAGTTTCCTGCTCATGCTCAGTGCTAAATCGAGTCTTACACAACACCTGTTTTTTTCTCGTTTGGCTTCACATGACATTTGGCAGCATGTGTATTATGTGTTATTTACAGGTAATTTTTATACCAACTTTATTGTGTAAAAAAGTTGATTTAGGGATGCAGTTACATAGAAGTTATGAAAAAACAAACAGATTAAAGAAACAGGCATGAACAGGCATACCTGAGCTCCTTTAGGTCTTCCTTAAAAACCTAGAAAGACAAGGAAGATGAAATGTTACCGAATGTAGTATTGAAAGATCACTTCTTACCTAGTGAATTAAGAGTGGTTACTTGCTTGGTATCTCTCCCCAAAAGTGTTAGTCTCGAGTGCCAGTAGCTTTGAAATGACAGGTTACATTTTGAGAAGAATTTCCAGAAGCTTCAGTCAAGTTGTGAGACACTAATTTTAAAGACCTGAATCTCTTGGAAGCCTTTATTTTTGAAAACAACCACCCTGCCACTTCTTTTATGCAGCTATCCATAACATATTATTCTTTCAGCGTAATTACGTACCCTTATTCTCAAGTATATTTTGCAGTAACTTTTTTAAACAATGACAACAGAAACGATATGGCAAAAGATAAGCTCTGAATACTTTCACTGTGTTTCCTGTAATATATGAACTTTTCCAGTATGCCTGGGTAAATCTGAAAACAGTATCTTAAACAAGACAGAGGTGCCGGAAGCCCAGAAGTAGTTTGCTCACATAAAAATAAAATGAGAAAAGAAAAAAGTTAAGGTCAAATAACATGAAAAAGGAAAGAAAATAGTAATGAAGAAGGAACAGAGGTTGGCAACATGGCAGATGTATACATATTCACACAGAACATCCATCTTATAAACAGAAGTAGCACTTTCTCCCAATTTTCACTACATTGTTCTGACCGTAAGATCTTCCTTCCTGTGGCAGAAGTATGAAGAAAGGCAGGCGAGCAAACATGAGATACTTTAAGTGTGGACAAAATGAGTGGTATGTGTAAACACAGGGCAAGAGAGAGAGTTGATGACAATGAAATAACAGTTTGCAATTTGAATTTAAGAGTGAAACCAAACATGCACAGTAAACAAGATACTGAAGCAGAAAAAAATACAGGAATCTCTTTCCCGAAGCTTAAATACTCTTCAAAAAAGCTCACTGTAAATCTTCCCAAGAAGTAAAATAATAAACTCTACATTTTTAACAGTTTCTTCCAACCACTTGAACTTGCACAACATTTTTATGTGCAGCTCACCACCTGGCAAATCGGGTTTAGGTGGTGACTCGCATCTGACGCAACTTTTAACTTATCAGGACTCCAATACTCCCAGAACTTACTTCTTGTTTGAAAGTTGACAAAGGGAGTCTCAGTGCTTCTCGGAGAAGGGTATACATGCCAGAAATGAGGAAAGCAAGTTGCTCTTCTGAGAGATTAGAGCTTTCTGCAATCAGCTGGACAGATTCCTTGCAGTCTTTTCCTTCCAGTGCATTAACAGCGACTGTGAATAAGAAAGCAAAGCAAAATCTCTTTAAAAAGAGGAAGACCTGGAGACGGTGAACATCAGCACAAACATGTCAACGATTTTACTTGACTTAATGCGCTGATGCTCTCCTGATGTGAAATTGTCACTTCAGGCTCTGCAAATATATCTGATCATCCACCACCACCAGCCAGTCTCACAACACCATACCAAGAGACCTTCAATGGATTAAGCTTTTGTATTGTAAAACTGAAGATTTTTTCACTGTTGAAATTTGTTCCAGTGGGATAATGCAAAAAAGATAAAAACATTCATCGCTCACGAGTGCAAATCCAACTTGAGCTTCTATCAACAAACTTGTTCACACCAGATGTCTGCGTACAGCTTAGCTACGCTTCTGATACACAGGGTGAGAGGACTGAGAGAGTAAACAATCCAACACTGCTCTCCAACAGTTCACAGAATTAATTTATCTTGCAATGTCAGCAGAGACTAAGGATGAAATGAGCAAGGAGACAAAACTAAACCTTCAACTCTGTAGTTTGCACAATTGCTGATAATACAAACTTTAAAGGAAATCACTGTTAACCCACAGGGCAATATTGTACACTAATAACTGGTGTGAGTTTATGTCAATCTTTATCATTCTGTTATTCATCCTTTTTCCATACACACACTGGCTTATATGAATTTCTGTTGTTACGTCAGCCTCTGTCCTGCACTCTGATCAGTCTGGATGGACTAATGGCGTCACAGCAAGCCCCACTGTCGGTAAAAAAAAAAGATTACTGACACAATCCCATTGCAGGATCGGGGCATTAGATTAGTCATTTATAATGATCCATATTTAGTGCTGTGAATAAAACATGAAAAGTTAAAAGTGCCCAACAAATGCTACTGAAAGCCAACACTTAGAGCTAGCTTGACACTAAGGTTGGAGGGGAAAAAAAAAAAAAAAGAGCTTTAATCACACTGCCAGCCTTCCTTTTGGTATTAGGTGGTTCCGCTGATGACTGTCTTCTAATTCTGGATAAATTCTCTTTGCTTTTCATATTTTTAAACGCACATCAAATTCAGTAGTGAGTCCTGATCATTCACATGGCTGACTGAATTTGTCTGGCACTGTCTGCAGGGCAGATTCACACAGAGTAGCTAGGATGTGTAAGGTGCTGGCACCAAGCTTTCCACGCTGTCTGAAAAAGGTTTTACAACAACAAAACTGAGCCTGAGAAGAGTCTATTTACTGGGAAGGCCAAAGATCAGCACTGGGGCCTGTCTACGAGATCATGCACTGCGCAGGAAACAGGCTGCTGTCTAATTACCTACTTACGTGTCTTCAGAGAACAACAGGTTGCTTATAGTTTTTAACTAGACAGCTTTAATGACATTATCAGTCTTCCTTCTGTTGACCAACCTTAATAACTGATCAAAAATCCATGTCTTCTTTTATAACCTACTTTCTTTACCCTAGAATACAATATTTTTTACTCAGTATAACTCAGGGAACTCCGAAATATCAGCTGTACCAACACTTCCAACAATCACTGTGAGGGAGAAAAAAAAGAATAACCCAAAACCATCCCAAGAAAATCTCACTGCTGGGTCATTTGCTCCTAGTAGAAGACGCTTGCAGCCTCGAACTTACACTTGCAGTTTAGCAGAGTCTGCAGTAACACTGGCCGGATAACCCTGAGATAATGGTACATGCAGTTTTTACACCATGAGCTGAGCAGGTAGCTGAAGCAGCATCTCATTTTTTATATTATTCTTTAGCAACAGAGTAACAGCAACAGCCTCAAAAAACTAACCTGGTGCCAGTAACAGAGCAATTTAGATATACTCTGTTGAAATCCATCATGTCTTCAAACACTTCTAAACCTCCAAGGACAAAAACTGTGGTCCTGCAAGCTCTTAGTCACAGACCAGCACAAGCAGAAGATGACTGGAGATTTCTGCCAGCTCTGCATAACCTGGAGGCTGTCTGTCCACTGCCCTGGGGCACTTGGTGAATCGGTGCAGAAGGGTCACCTGCCCCGGCTTGGGATGAAGCACTGTCTGGTCCCACTACAGAAGGAAGCACTGACTGCACACCGAGGCATGGGTGACAAACTACACCGAAGCGAAGCCCAGATGGGACTCAGGAGACAGCCAGGCTTCCTGGCACTTTTCCATCTCCGTTGCCCCTGCACTAGACACCAAATACGGGTCAACGTTTGTATTTACTTGTCCCAAACGCCTGTGCCTATACGTAGCTTTATTACTTTATGTTATTGCAAGGAAACCCTGGATACGTTGCTCCATCTCCGAAACTATGCAACATCTTTGAAGACAAACTAGCTACCACATGCTTTGAGTCCTTATGGCCTCAAATCAGGAAAAACAAGCCCGAAAGGATGTTAGCTGAGAGAACACGCACATGAGGGTCACAGCACTGTGCAGCAGCTGGCCACAAACAAGCTGCTTGCTCTGCTGATCAACTCTTCTCTTTGATTGTGCCGTGATTATTTTGCACACAATAATTTACTCAACCGAGTAACTCTGGTTTTGGCGGTCAGCGGTGCCTGGAGAAAATCTCAGCTGTCTTGGCTTAGCACAGGGAGAAGCCTCAGACAAATTCAAACAGGCAAAACATTTTCCATCTTACAGCCCCACCTTCGATACGACACCTGCCCTCTGAGGTTCCGTTATTTTCTCCTGCACGTTATGAAAACATCCATGGGGTCTCTGAGCTTCACGTGCCCCACACAACCTGACAGCGACCCAGAGGCCCAGGGGCTGAGGAGCGACAGAGAAACTGTTCTAAGAGCTCTCGGTGCGAGCGTGGGGGCCGTTTATTGCCGCCAAAGCCTGTACCTCACTCTCACGGATCTTACAGGATTCTAGAATACAACCAAGCAAACCCTTCATTGCATTTAACCCTTGGCTTCCTGCAGGGAAAAGCAATGGGAAGCGTCCCTGGAGCAGAGCGGGCCCTCCGTCCGCCCTCGCCTTCCTAAGGGACCCGCGGCTTCCTCG